CCTTGTCCGAGAAGGCTAGGTGTAGATCTTTCCTACCAGAAGATCAGGGGTGTGGCTGAAAACAGCAGTAAGAAGACAGACTAGACCTGTAACAAGGGGCCAAACATGACATACTGACAGAACAACTTTCTGGGGGATGAAAGCTGCTGAGATTTTTCAACAAAAAAAATAATAAAGAAAGAAAACAGAAAAAAACTTTCCATATAATAATATACAGATTTTGGTAAAAGTAAACTTGGGCCCTCCATTAGCAAATTACTTGACCTACTTCGTACATCCAGGGTTTTGACTTCCAGATGGGTTATATTTGGCTCTCCATGACGTCATCCGCTATTTGTACACTTCAGTCACATAACAGGCAAGCGAGAAGTGAACAGTAACCAGAAACTATTATAAAATGCATTGAACGCCCCTTTAGACGTTAAACGATATTCAGAGGGTGGGCTCCCCGAATTTCACGCCCGTCTCCGACAGTACAGGTCAAAAGAAGTTGACAGCTTTTTTTTTTTTTTTGGTAAATATTTTATGGCGATCGCAACTGCATAAGGTCATATGAGTGCGCGGGACATATTAAACTTTTTCAGTTGGTAGGAAATTTTGAATTTTGCCCGGGTGGCGGCCGAAACCTACTCTTATTAATTTTAGACCACCAAGGGGCCTTTAACGTGCGCAACTTTCACACGGGTCCTCCGAGATTTTTCACCCTGGTCCGAGAAGGCTAGGTGTAGATCTTTCCAACCAGGAGATCGGGGGTGTGGCAAAAAGACAGCAGTAAGGGGGAGCCAAGGAGAGGCAGTAGAAAGGCTGCAGAAAGAGTCCGGGGCCCAGAGGAGGGGGTAAAGGAGGTGAGGGGGTGGGGCAGAAAGAGGAGACGAAAGCAGACGACAGAACATTGCTATAGAGCAGGAAAGGAGGTGAAAGCAGACAATTTAAGAGAAGAAATTTTTCGGCCGCTACCCGGATTCGAACGCGGGACCTTTGAATGAGAGGAGAACACCTTAACCTCCAGGCAACGAGAACCCCCGTGGACAGCTTTGAAAACGGGTCAAACAACCCACTTGAAGTATTCCAACTTGGGATGTTCACACTTAAGCCCAGTGTGATATTAACCGAACTAACGACGTGCCCCAGTGGTTATCAGAGGCCGTTAGTTGTGAGAAACCCGAAGCTAAATCTTTAAACAAAAAATGAATCAGACAATCATGGAGGAAGAGGAGCACACTCTATTATTGTCACTGGAGTCCCCCCCCCCC